ATAAGATTACGAATCTCGACCGAGCGAACCGGTCGCCGCAGGGCGTGTCATTACGGCAAGCCCCCAGGCGTGGGCTACTCTTGGTCGAGTGAGGCGCCGTAGCTCAATTGGTTAGAGTACTGGACTGTCGATCCAGTGGTTGCGGGTTCGAGCCCCGTCGGCGTCGCTCTCATAAGCCCTTGCAGTGCAGGGGCTTATGTCATTTCTGGGGCCAGTGATTCTCGCCGCCCCGATGCTCAACACTCAATCAACACTCAATAACGTTCAGCCGGCCGCCCCTGCCCGGAGGATCGCCGGAACGTGAACGTCGGCCCCCGTCTCCTGCCGCCGCATCCGTTCGAGGTCGTTGATGTAGATGCGGGTGGTCGATGCCGACCGGTGACGCATCAGGTGTTGCAGCACGTCCGCCGGCAGGTGATCCACGTTGCTGTTGGCGAACCCGAATCGCAGCCGGTGGAAGGCGCCCGGGAACTCGACCCCGGCCGCTTCCTTCAGCTTCCGAAAGTCGCCATGAAGCGTCGATCGGTGGTGAGGCCAGGAGAAGGCCAACTCGTCAAACGACTGTATCCGCTTAACGTGATCTAGAACCGCCTCGGGCAGCTTCACCCGGATATCCCGCTTGCCCTTCGTCTTCTCGGCCGGCAGGAACGCGACGCCTTCGCAATAGTTGATATCGTCGCGACGCAGTTCGAGGATTTCCCCGATCCGCCAGCCAGTCAGGTAGGCGAACGTCAGCAACGCCTGCCACCACTCCTGCGGCTCGCAATGCGTTTGGACGGGGCGGGCCATCGACTCGCAAGCCGCGTACAGCTTGGCGAACGTGGCGTCATCGACGAACGCCGGGTCACGCTTCGGCACGGATTCCATCGTGAACTTCGGGGCCTTGGCGATCATCCCCCACTCTTCGGCTTTGTTGAATGCCGCCCGCAGGTGCCGTAGCTCTTTGTTGACGGTAGCCAATGAGACCGTGGCGCCCTCCCCCCTGCCCTTCGCTGACTTGTCCGCCGCCTTCGGCCTCGCTTGCTCTCGCTTGCGACGGGTCCGGTAGAGGTCCACCGTCTGCGTGTTGATCGTCACCATCCGCTTCGGGTCGATGATCCGCTCGAAGTGCTGAAAGGCGATCTCGGTTGCTTCCCGATTGTTCGGGCTCATGCCTTCGAGGATCGCTTCGGCGTGCTGCTTGCGGAACTCCGCCCACGTCACCGCACGAGGCGACGCGATGCCGTGCTCTAGCTCCGTCTCTTTCTTCAGTCGGAACTTTTCGGCCATCGACTTGGCGCCGACGCGCTTCGACCGTCGTTTGCCGTCCGGGTCCAGCCAGCCGACGGACCACGGGCATTTGTCGCCGAGCTTTTGCTTTTGGCGGGTGTCTTGGAATAGCCACGCTCGCATTGGTTGCTCCCCTGGGGTTGGTGGTGAACTGGTTCCAACTGGGAACCGGTTAGCAAGGTTCCGCACGGGAACTTTGCTCGCGGTGAACTTGGTGCTGTCTGGGAACTAAGTCGCAATTGTTCCGCGAGGGAACAATTGAGCCCCCAGCCGCCCCACAACGGAGCGGCCGGGGGGAACGTCAGCCGAACACTCTCGACAACAGCCCGCGCCAACCGACGTCCGGCCGGGGCGGGGCTTTCACCTTTGGGTTAGTCGATCGTGCCCGCTGCGCTTCCTTCGTCAGCGCCCCCGGCTCGGCGTCAGGGCAGCCCCGCGGTCGGAAGCGCCGATAGCCGCCGGGCTGAATCTCGAAGTACGTCACCGGCTCGTCCGCATAGCAGTTGCGGTAGCACCAGCGCCACACTTGCACCAGCATCCGAGAATCGTGGCCGATGCTCAGCTCGTTGACCGTCTGGGCGCGCCACGCCAACCAGCCCCGGGCCGTCTCGGCGTTTAGGTCGGCGGTCGAGGGCTCACGGTCGAGGAACTCGGCGAGCGACCGCGGGACGGCTCGAAGGCGTCGCACGGTCCGCTTGCACGGGGGCGTTTCTCGACCCGCCAAGTAATCCTCGACCGCAATCGACAGAGGCTTGGTTCTCATGATCCGGCCCTCCCCAGTCGTGGAAGCCAACCGAAGATGCCGCCGGGCTTCTCTTCTTTCTTCGGGACCGGCTTGGCGGCCGGCTTTCGCACCGAAGGAATGATCGTCGGTAGCTGCGTCGGGTCGATGTAGCTCTTGCGGACTAGCGAAGGGTCGCTGTGACCCAACGCCGCCGATGCGTCACCGCCGGCAAGATGAACCTGCGTCGCATGGTAGCGGCGGAAGCTGTGGAACATGTTGTTCCGACCGTTGGGCAATCCCGCTTCAATCAGCAGCCGGCGCATTGAGTGATAGAGCGACGCCAGCGAGACAACCTCGAAGGGCGTCCCCGGGCTCACGACTTTGAGCATCCGAAGATCGTGAACCACGGCGGCCGTGATCCGCTTGCGGGACCCCTTCACCCGCCCTTTGCGCGTCTCGGGGCGGAACGTGACGGTCCCATTCTCCAGGTCGATATCCTCCCAACGCAGGACGTGGATAGCGGCGTGTCGCTCGCCCGTCTCGACCGCGATGCCGATCTTCGCCGGGTAGTAGAGGTTGGCCGGAACTCCGCCGATCCACCAGTCCGCCCGACGGGCCGCCGCGTCGATCTTGGCGACTTGCTCGGGGACCCATGTCTCGGGGACGTTCTCGACCTTGCGGGGCAGGTGCGTATCCGGGAAGGGCAGCCCCTTGCGCTGGGCGATCCACTTCCAGACAGCCCGCAGCTTCTCGCACTCGCCTCGGAGCGATCCGGCCGCAACGTGATCGATGTTGCGGCGATGGTTGACCCAGCGGCCGTAGTTGTCGGCGGTCAGGTCTTCCGGCGTGGACGGTCGGCCGAGCCAGACGTCGAAGTTGTTGATCGTCGTGCGGTAACGGTCCATCGTGCGCGGGCTGGTGATCCGCGGGTTCACTTGGCCGTATAGCTCCGCCCACTCGATAACGGTGACGGGTCCGTCCGGTTCCTCGGGCGTGCCGGTGATGATCCTCGGCGGGTTGATCGGTGGGTTGCTGCTGGCCTGCGTCACGACGGGCGTGTCGTCGTCGTCCCAACCGGCGGGTAGTTTTGGTTGATCGCTCATAGCGCACCTCCCTTGCGGCAATCGGACGGAATCAACTCGAAAGCGATCTCCAGCGTGAATCGCAGCGACTTGGCAGCCGCCCGCATGGCGAGAACGTCGTCGATCTCAATCAGCAGGTCGGCGAACCAACTCTTGACCTTCACGCTAGCCGTCTTCAGACGCTCTAGGAGGGCCGTACAGTCGCCCTCGGAGTCCAGGCGGTTACTGAGGCACTCGGCGGCAAGGTGCCGTCGAAGGGCCTCTCTGAGCATCACAGCGGCCGCGTAGGGGCGACCGGATAGAAACGCGTCGTTCGCGGCTCGGAGCATCGGGGCGGCGGTTGATACCGGCACGACGACGCCGAGTTGCCGCACAGCAAGACAGACCATGACGAGAGGGTCCTTCTGCGCGGCGACCCAAACTAAGCGATTGGCTTAGTTTGCTAACCGCGCAAAGAAAACGCGTGGCCGTGCAGACTTGTCAGGCGGCAACGATACCGCCCCGGTGCCTCACGGCGCGAGCGCTTGCGGGCGCTCCCGAGTCTCCACGGCCACGCGTTCTGTTTTCGTTGTGAGTTTGACATTCGTTGTGCTCAGGGCTCAGACGCCCCAGAGTTGGCCTTGCGGGCCGCAGCTTTGACCCCGGAATCATGGCGACAGCGGGGGGCGTCTGTCAACGGCGGATGAAACCGATGCCCGGTGGGGATTGGTTTTACTGACCGTCCGTCCGGTGACGCCGTGGGCAGCGCCGGCCTCGTCGCGGGCGTCTGACTTCCCGGAATCATTTCCGGAATGTTCCAAATCAGTCCGCCGTCCTTGCCGCTCCTTCGCCCGCTCCGCGTAGAACGGTTCCATGCGAGCGGCGACCATCGCCAATGCTCCAAAGTGGCCAACTTGGCCGAGATTCCGACCGCCACAGAGCCCCCTTCCAGCCCCGATCTATCCCGCCCTCGATATCTTTGTCACCGGACGGGTGGAGGGGCTTCGATTGGGCTATTTGACGTCCTAGAGGATGCAGCTTGGCCTTTCGTAGGGCCGTCAAGCGTTGTCATCAAGCACTCCAGGCTGAGCGCATCTTCATAAGTGCGGATGCGGTCCAATTGGGCCACCATCCCCTGCTGCACGGCAGATTCGATTAGCCGCATCACGCGCTGCCGAGCCAATAAGTCCGACAGCGGCTCTGTGAACGGACCCACCGCGGCCTGCCGCTCGAAGTAGAGCGCGAGAAGACGATCTTGGAGAAGAGGGAGGTTTTCAGCCACCGGAACCTCTCGGGGGTAGAGAACCACT